CCCTTTCGGGGGATGCAATAGGTCTGAGATTGTCCTAGAACCTCCTGGTCAAGGGCGTTCTGGAATCATCTCATGCATTGGTTATTGCGATGACGCACATGAAGTTCCGTAGAGAGAACTCAGGAAGCCTTATAGATGTCTGGACTAATTGGTAATTCATAGTGCTCCTTGCACGGTGGTACACACTGCGTTTGTAAACCTTTCGTGATTGCAAGATTCGGGAGTCATGTTCTTGCCCGGATTTTGCGGCACGAGCCCAAATATATAAGCCGTCTGGAATCGCAAAGGAATTTACCCGAAGTTACCAGGTTCTGTTGAAAGGTTCCAAGTGAAGGTACCGTAACAACGCCGCCCTGCTCTTCTAACCCTACCTGAGCCTCACCCAAAATCTGCCGTTTCAGGACATAAAACTATGAAATCATGCCACAGAACCTTGCAAGTGTAGGGTTTATGGGGCTCAAGCAAACGCCCCCCCCCCCCGGAAAAATCCTTGGCTCCTAGTGATCTTCCCTGAGGTGTGGACTCGGGGTCTGCTTCGGGATGGTTTTGATGGTGATGAGGGTCGTGTAAGATACTTTCAAAAGTGTGACCGGGTTGCGGGACTTCAGGCTTTGGACTTTCAAGATATGGGGGTTTCAGAAAATTCGGGGTACCTTACTTTGGGGCCCTTATAGTAAGGATCCTACTATTTAGGATACTATATTAGGGTCCCCCATTTTCGGAAACTCCCATATGCAATGGCGCTGTAGGGCTGATATGGGATCTCTTGAGCTTTTTTGCGGCTCAGCGTTAGGGCCCGGGTTTAGGGTTTACAGGGAGCTTAGTGGGTAGGGTTAAGCTTTCGGGAAGGTGTTCAGATGTAAGTTTGGAGTGTGTAAGGGGACTAGGAGGATTTAGGATGGGGTTTGGGGTAGTAGCATTGGCCGAAGAATCTTCCAAAGCCGTGCGAAGCCAAGACGCGGATGTTTCAAGGGTCCCTTACCCGATATAGCTTTGCAGCATGGGCAGAAGCCGCATAGTGTCACAGCCAAGGCAGCCGTGTAATCTCCCGGTGGCAAGGTTTCGTGCAAGCGTCAAAAAAGCGAACCCAGGGCAAACAAAAAAGCAGCTTAAAGGCCCCTCATCTAGGACCCAGAGCTACCTTTCTCTTACTTAGCCAATTGGAGAACTTTAAACTTTTTGGCTTTATGTAGTTGGTCTATCTTACAAAGTCTGAACTTTTTTGGGGCCTGGTTATTGGAGAAGAGAGTTCTTAGGGTTAAGGTTCCCTTATAACACCCTTTAAACCAAAAAGGGCACCCTTTTTATTCATAGGTTACTCTTGGGTCTAGTCATCAAAGCCCTTATAGGACAAGAAATCCTTCTCGGTTGAGGACTGGATGGATGACTGGGTGGCCGCTGTGCCAATGGAAGGGTTTAGGTTAGGGGTGGGGTTCAGGGTTTAGGGTTTAGGGCTTAGGTTAGGTTCGGCGGTTTGGGTTTAGGTATTGGGGTTTCGGGCTAGAGGTTCTGGAAATGGATTTCCTTTGTGTTCTGATTATTCGTAACCATGTAAGCTAAGACATGCTAAGACTCTTGGTGGGTTTGCTTTCGACATCAAGTTTTGGTTAGTCTGGGATTCAGAGATGGATAGTTTTTCGGGTAGCTTTTGCTGGGATTGTTGCCTTGGTCGACCAAGCTCTGAAACTATAGTAGTAGCCCAAAAGTTGGAAACCCAATGGCCTCAATCCTTAAGAATAACGTATAAGGAATCCCAGCACATTTGACCTTAGTCCGATTTCCAACTTTTTGTGGTTTACTGTAGCCCCTAGAACTCGTACAAGGAGTTTTCTGGAACTCTTATGCAAACCTTGTATAGACCCCTTGGTTAGTCGCGCCCTGAACCCTCAAACCCATACGCTTAAAGTGGTCCAAAGACAGATACCTGAAAAGCAGGTCCGCAAACCTGTAGGGCAATTGGACATGTTTTGGAGACTAGGGTTTAGGATTTAGGGTTTGGAGGTTACCGGATCCTGGATAAAAGGGTTTGGGAATTCCTTTTATATCTCTAAGGAGGTGGATCCGGATGAGGCCTACGTTGTGCTTGAGCCGATGCCCGCGAAGCAGCCAAAGAAGGCATCTGGGGCTTTGTCATGGATTTGATTGCCTATTTACTGGTGAACCTATGTATCAACTTCTTCATGCATATGTAGATGCATGGATATGTGTGTATATATATATATATACACACACACACCGAAGTTTCAAAGGCTGTCCATTGTTTAGGTTTCTGGTTTAGGGTCTGCGAGCCAGAGGTTTTGGGCATGGGTTTTAAAGGCTCTACAAGGGTCCTGCAAGGTTCTGGAGAGTTTCAGAGGTTTCTTTCGGGTTGAGGACACCCTGATCCATTTTTCTGAAAGCCGTAAGGAACGAAGCGCGCCCGACAAAGGATTGAGGGCTTACGGGAAGAGTGTGTTACTCATGTATGTCTCAGTCGGGCTGTTGCTGTACATGGTTAGGTTGCTCTATCCTAGTTGAGATAGTTGTCCGTGCTGGTAAGAGAATTCTGTATGTCGTCGCAGAAGTCGTAGTCCAAGCAGCAGGCAGCATTGCATCGTCGTGATTCTCATCGTGGATGTCGTAGTCGCAGTCGTAAGTCGTCGTGCACTGGTGTTAAGAAACACAATGGCACACCCAGCGCCGAACCCCCCAAATAGGAAATATACTTCAAATCATATTGGGTTTCTACTATAACTATAATTTAAGGTATATGCCCCTGTTCCGTTTCTGTCTTACCGGGGTGCGTAGGGCTACCTATAGCCTGCTCCTCCTCCCTCTTGCACCTGGGCTGCTTCCATAACTTTAGGGCCTTTAGGGAAGGTGAGCCAAGGATTGCGCCCCAAGTCTTACCCCAAGCACCGCAAGGCTGAGCTTCTGCCTGAGACGACGTTTATGTCACCAATGCTGCGCCGGGCTTTCGTTAGCGACTTAGCCAGCGGCTTCTGTTGTCTTAGGGGTACTTAGGAATAATTTTTAATTTTTGGTTATCATAATCCCTAAGAAACAGCTAAAATTGTAATTTTTGCTAGGGTTCCAAGTTCAGTATAGTTGTGCGAGGTCTACTTCGGAAGCAGCACAGCTGGGCTTCCGACGGATTGCAACAGTAGTACAGAGACCTGAGTAAAAGGAACTGTCAAATCCTAAATGGGAGTTTCCAAAAATAGGGGACCCTAATATAGTACCCTAAATAGTAGGATCCTTATAACAGGGACCCCAAAATAAGGTACCCCTAGTTTTCGGAAACTCCCAACTCTCCACATGCTTGCTCCTGGTCTCCGAAACCCCCAAACTTCCTGGAACCCCTCAGGGTTGAAGGCTCAGGTAGAGGGTAGAGGGTGCAGGGTTGAAGGCTTCAGGTTTAGGGTTTGGAGTTTATGGTTTCGGATTAAGGTTCGTGGTTTAAGCTGTAGGGGCCAGGTTTCAGTTTTGAAGTTTAAGGTTTAAGGTTTAGGGGTCCAGGCGGAGGGTTGTAAGGGATTTCGAGCCACGTGGCTCACACCTGTCTTTTCGAAGCCATTTGGGCGGCCCGAGACGAGCGTCTTGCCGTGGTGTGCCTTCCGACCATGAAGCTAACAATGCTGAAGCTGGGGAAATGGGAGGCCAGGGGTTTCGGGTTTGGAGGGCGTTGGGGCTGAAGGGGTTTAGGGACAGTTAGGCTTCGGGGTGTAGGGTTTTAGGGTTTACTGGTTTCGGGTTTGGGGGTTAGTGCTTGAGGTTTAGGGGTTTAGGGTTCAGTAGGTGTAGGGTTTTCGCTTGAGGCCTTGTTTAAGCTTTAGGCTTAGGGAACGGGGTGTGGCCTTGTTAGGTCTTGTCTTCCATCCCTTGCCTCGTACTCCTAGTAGTCGAGTAGGTAGCCTTTAACCTTTTTTGGGTAGTATAGTCCCTATATAATCGCTATATAACCAAAAAGGTTAACCTTTAGTTCCCCATGATACTCGACAAGTAGCTACTGGGAGCTCCTACAGCAGCTGGGAGGTTCTCTCCGATAATTTCCCTTGTCGGGAAATTGTTTTAACCTTGCCCAATACTTTACATCCGAAACCTTTGACCCGTTTCGGGCCTTCATTCATTGTAGGAGTGATGTAAGTGGCATCATTTCTGGCGGTTAAGACAAGAGCAAGCAGCAGAAGCGGATGTGTTGGCTGCCTTGTCCTGATGAGAGCCCTCCTGCATGCTTTCTTTGTTTATCTAACATTTGCTTTGAGGAGGGGTCGGTTGATAGATTCAGCTCCGAAAGCCCCGGTTCAACATGCGATTTCAATACCTGCTCTCAAGTCCGACAGGACCGTTTAGCACTCTTCTACAACGTTGTAAAGCAGCGCACACCCAAGACCCCAAACCCCGCAAAAAAAACAGACGCCCTTGCCTGGCGAACTAAACCCTTCACCCTAAGCCCTAAGCCTCGCGTGGCAAAGAGACTCTTTTCTCATCGTCGTAGGCTCTTCGGCTCTTCGCCGCTCTCGGTCTGTTCCTGGGGGGCGCAGCCTTCGGAAAGGTGGCGGACAAGTTATTGTTCTTTTGGTTTCCCTTCTGGTGTTTAGCTAGTCTCTTGGTAATTGCATCAAGGGATATTTGTTGTTGTATTTGATTGTGCAATGGTTTTCGTTTGTTTCGCCTGGTTTTTACTGGGAGGCCCCTTGCAGGGATCCTTTCGGTTAGCGCGGTTGGTGTACGGGCTGTTCCTTCTCAGCACAGTTGTTTATACCCCCAAACCCTGAAGCCTAAACCCCTAAACCCTAAACAGACCAGTCTGATGTTTAGCATATGACATCCTGGGTGGTCAAATGTAGTTTAGCGGCTGCACTACTTTTGACAGTCCTCGCATACCACAGACACAGTCGTCCTGGAGCCTGCGAGCTACGCCCCCACCCGATCACCTACAATCGAAGAAGCACCCTGGGGCTTAAAAGCGAAGCACATACTTAAAACCTGCTAGAAGCCTACCTCGGGCCGGGGCAGTGATGGCGCGCCACCCGGCGGATGTGACTCGCTTGCCAGGGCTGCCTGACACAGATGATGATGACCTCACGGCGGTCGAGCCCCGTAAAGCAGCCAGGGTGACGGGGGCAGATGATGCCAGCTCTCCGCGGAAAGGGGGCAGTCAGGCTGTCACCTTGGCAGACCTCCAGCGACTCCTGGAGGCGCAGAGTGCTCAACTCCAGCAGCACCAGACACAGCAGATCAGGGATGCGGTCGGGGAGCTAAAGATGGCCACGGCTTCGGAGCTCAAGACCCTCAAGAAGGAAATCAATCGCCAGGGGGACTACATCGAACAATTGCGCGACCAAGGAGACCGGTTCGAAGAACGACTTGCGGCCCTGGAGAGCAAGGCGCTAGCCCAAGGGGAACCACAAGGGGGAGAGGACAAGAAGAAGAACGTGGTTGTCTTTGGAGGTTGGGGATCGGACACGCATCGCGACCAGTTGCTCCCAGAGTTGCGTGAGATGCTTCAAAAAATCAATGTCCTCAAGTCGTTCGCGGACATCTTTACAACGGGGCCGAGGCGAGGGAACGCGCTCGGACTCGTGCACCTTGTGGATGGCGAGTCTGACCAGGACTTGAAGCGACGGGTGGTTGAGATTGTCCAGGCTGTCCGGAGCGCCCAGATGGCTGGGGCCAGCATGGAACATGGAAAGGTGCTCTGGGCGGCGCCCAGCAAGTCGAAGTTGGAAAGGGTGCGATCGGCCCACGCCGGGAAGCTGAAGCGGATGATCTTGGAAGTTGCGGAGCAGGAGCGGACCCACCTCGATGTGGAGTGGGCGGCAGGATCGGTGTGGTTGAGAGCCAGGCTGGTAGGGAGTGCAGTCAGATCGAAGCCGGCCGACGTCCAGGTGCTCCCAGGAAAGGCGCCGCAGACATGGGTGGACATCGCCACGGTGGCGAGGCTCCTTGGCTGTGGTGAACAAGGGCTGCGGGACCGGTGGGAGGCGCTGATGCAGGAGTGAGACATCGAGTCCGAGGTCGAGGCGGAAAACGGGCAATTGGCCTCTGGCCGTGTGCATGCGGTAGTTAGGGGGGTCCCAAAAGGGTCGCCACGCCAGAGGCGTGGTGACGCTGAGGCGGAAAGCCAGGGGCCACTGTGCAGCGACCCCGAACAACCTGTTGAAGTGAGCACTGAGGGTAGCACCAGAAACGTTGGAGTTGACCCTACTTCCTTTTTTCATTTGCAATCATGGAACATCGGTGGCAAGCCCATAGACGATGCATTGCATGCTGTTGACTCTGGTTCTGACGGAGACCAACTACCAGTGGTGGTGGCACTACAGGAACTGCCCAGACGAAGGGCGGGGTGGCACACATCGGTGCATGGGCACCGCACACTGGTGCAGTATCGAGATGATCTCCTGCAGTGGAGGGGGAATGGGGTGGCCTTTGACACCAGGCACTTTGTATGCACGAGAAGGAAGGCTGACCAACTCGGAGTGTGGGTCAGGCTAAAGCAGACTGGTACGGGTAGAGAATACTGGATCGGCTCTGCCCGGTTCAGCACGGGCATCACAGATGACCGGGCCGCGGAGGAAGCGCAGCAGCTGCTCCAGCTGAAGCCGACATCGCCCCACCCCGTGATCCTCCTGGCGGACTTCAACATGAAGCTGAGATGGACTGGCGAGGCCAATGACAGAGGCCAGGTCATGCCCACGACCGGGCGAGCGGATCTGGTGGTGGCGGAGTTGGAGAGACAAGGGCTCACACTCAGGGCCCCGGGGCCAGACCAATGGCTCACACCCACGAGCAGACCGAGGAGAAGTGGAGCACGTGGCCACCAAATTGATGGTGTTGCGACGGCGGGCACCCAGCACCCGGCAGTGCGGATCATCGAGAAGTCGTACAGGCAGATCGGTGGTGACCACGATCGAATTGCGGTCCGATTGTCGGTGCCTCAGTCACATCAGGATGACCGTCCTAAGGTGTACACACGGCCCAGGTGCGTGGTCAGCCGGCCGGAGCAGGTCCTGTCGATCAACCAATCGACGATCCATAGCATAGCCCTCCGACACACGGCACCCAGGCCAGGACAGAGGTACCATGACCCACCCGAGGTCAAGCGGTTGTACAGGGTGGCCAAGAGGGAAGGAAGTGAACAAACATGGAAGACAGCGCACAGAGCCAGGCGCAGTGCAAGAGATCAGTGGTGGACGAACAAGGTGTATGCGGCCTCTCAGAAGGGTTGGAAGGATTTCCGTGAACTCAGGTCGCTTAGTGATGACAGAGTGGGCTGGGAAGTGCACCTCTCCGAGGAGGCCCACCAGGCCGGAAAGGAACCCCTGAAATGGACGATTGACCACTTCCAGCAGATCTTCAAGGAAACGATGCCTGAAACCGAGGCGGAGTGGAGGAAGGACTGCCCTCACTCGGAACCCTTCCGAGTCGAAGAAAAGGCTTTTTCGTACTATTCGGGGGGTCAAAGATCAACCAGGGGATCCTGTTTCAGCGGAGCTTGAAAGGAGCATCGCCGCGCCGCCCACCAGAGACGAGCGCCGATTGTAAAAGAACCCTAAGACACCCTAACCCTTCAGCTAGAATTCATTTTTATACGAAACAGCATTACGTAGTAGTACACAGATCTTTCAATTTTACATTTCTCCTTTTTTCCTTCTCTCGGGGTTGGGGGGCTTCGGGGAGCGGGGGAGAAAGAAGCGACAGAGAAAGAGTGTAAGAGGAGAGAACCACGTTGTTGCACTTGCTGTCGTTCTGCCGCTAGGGCGCTAACTTAAACCCTAACCCTTAATCTAAAACTACACTAAACTCTAACCGTAGTAGCTAACTTACACTGAACCCTAACCCTAATCGCTAACCCTACACCCTAACCCTCAACCTAATCCTAACCCCGAACCCTAAACCCTAAAACTGCCGCGTGCCCGGCGGCTAAACCCTAAAACTGCCGGGTGCCAGGCGCAAACCTTAAAACCTTTAACCCTAAACCCTAATCCCTTATTAAATAGTACATTATTGTTAACTAAATAACAATCTAAACCCTACACTAAACTCTGACCGTCATCATCGCCAACTTACACTGAACGCTTATTTAGTCAGATTAACCCTAGGGTTTAGGGTTAGGGTTGAGGGTTTCGGGTTTAGGTTGACCCTAATCCTAAACCCTAGCCCTAAACCCTATAGGGTTTAGGCGCCGTACCGGCAGTTTTAGGGTTTAGGGTTAGGGTTTAGGCGCCGTACCGGCAGTTTAGGGTTTAGGCGCCGTACCGGCAGTTTTAGGGTTTAGGCGCCGTACCGGCAGTTTTAGGGTTTAGGGTTAGGGTTTAGTATTAGGCGATGTACCGGCAGTTGTAGGGTGTAGTTTAAGGTTTAAGGTTAAGGTTTACTCACCGGAGAACCGGCAGTTTTAGGGTTTAGGGTTAGGGATTAGTATTAGGCGATGTACCGACAGTTGTAGGGTTTAGTTTAAGGTTTCGGGTTCAGGTTTAGGCACCGGAGACCCGGCAGTTTTAGGGTTTAGGGTTAGGGTTTAGGCGCCGTACCGGCAGTTTAGGGTTTAGGCGCCGTACCGGCGCCGTACCGGCAGTTTTAGGGTTAGGGTTTAGGCGCCGTACCGGCAGTTTAGGGTTTAGGCGCCGTACCGGCAGTTTTAGGGTTTAGGGTTAGGGTTTAGGCGCCGTACTGGCAGTTTAGGGTTTAGGCGCCGTACCGGCGCCGTGCCGGCAGTTTTAGGGTTTAGGGTTAGGGTTTAGGCGCCGTACCGGCAGTTTAGGGTTTAGGCGCCGTACCGGCAGTTTTAGGGTTTAGGGTTAGGGTTTAGTATTAGGCGATGTACCGGCAGTTGTAGGGTTTAGTTTAAGGTTTAGGGTTAAGGTTTAAGCACCGGAGACCCGGCAGTTTTAGGGTTTAGGGTTAGGGTTTAGGCGCCGTACCGGCAATTTAGGGTTTAGGCGCCGTACCGGCAGTTTTAGGGTTTAGGGTTAGGGTTTAGGCGCCGTACCGGCAGTTTAGGGTTTAGGCGCCGTACCGGCGCCGTACCGGCAGTTTTAGGGTTTAGGGTTAGGGTTTAGGCGCCGTACCGGCAATTTAGGGTTTAGGCGCCGTACCGGCAGTTTTAGGGTTTAGGGTTAGGGTTTAGTATTAGGCGATGTACCGGCAGTTGGTTTAATAAGGCACCGGAGACCCGGCAGTTTTAGGGTTTAGGGTTAGGGTTTAGTATTGGGCGATGTACCGGCAGTTGTAGGGTTTAGTTTAAGGTTACGGGTTAAGGTTTAGGCACCGGAAACCCTGCAGTTTCAGGGTTTAGGGTTAGGGTTTAGGCGCCGTACCGGCAGTTTAGGGTTCAGGCACCGTACCGGCAGTTTTAGGGTTTAGGCGCCGTGCCGGCAGTTTTAGGGTTTAGGGTTAAACCCTAAACCCTAAAACGCTTAACCCTAAACCTTGACATTTTGAAGCTTGGTTTGGTTTAAGTTAGCGATGTTAATGTTGTGCGAACGTTCGGTGATAGTAGTTTTATGCTGTGAATGAATGTACAACTGTGTACTTTCTTAATGTTATGGGATCCTAAGGGTGGGTGGGTGTCATGTCTATGCCGTAAACACAGCTCTACTAAACAACTGTTCGATCCGGAGCTGCTGAACCTTAAACCCTAAACCCTAGGCGCCGGGACCGGCACCGGTTTGCATGGTTTCGCAAAGTAACAAGAAATACCATTGCATGTATCAAAAGGCAATTGAATACAACTAACAATTGACGTAAATTGCTGAAGCTGTTTGGTGTTCGGGCTTTGGCTTTGGCGAGAAAAAGAGGTCGCCTTCTCCCACCCAGGCCCCCACCCCCACAAACTGACAAATCAAATTAGCTTGAAAATTTCAGTTTGAATAGCTTCGGACACAGGAGCTATGATAATGATTGACACAGGAGTTATATTTTGTGACACAAGAGCTAGGTTTTGTGACACAGGAGCTATTGTTTTTGACACAGGGCTATGTTTTGTGACACAGGAGCTTATTTTGTGACACAGGAGCTATGTTTTGTGACACAGGGGCTTATTTTGTGACACAGGGCTATGTTTTGTGACACAGGAGCTTATTTTGTGACACGGACAGACTCCTCACGTCACAAAATCGCAGGCCAGGCCGGGGTCAGGAGGTCATAGGCGCTATGTCTTGTGACACAGGAGCTATGTTTTGTGACACAGGAGCTATGTTTTGTGACACAGGGCTATGTTTTGTAACACAGGAGCTTATTTTGTGACACAGGGCTATGTTTTGTGACACAGGAGCTTATTTTGTGACACGGACGGACTCCTCACGTCACAAAATCGCTGGCCAAGCCGGGGTCAGGAGGTCATAGGAGCCATATTTTGTGACACAGGAGATATGTTTTGTGACACAGGAGCTATGTTTTGTGACACAGGGCTATGTTTTGTGACACAGGAGCTTATTTTGTGACACGGACGGGCTCCTCACGTCACAAAATATCGCACGCCGGGCCGGGGTCAGGAGGTCATAGGAGCTATGTTTTGTGACACAGGAGCTATGTTTTGTGACACAGGGCTATGTTTTGTGACACAGGAGCTTATTTTGTGACACGGACGGACTCCTCACGTCACAAAATCGCAGGCCAAGCCGGGGTCAGGAGGTCATAGGAGCTATATTTTGTGAGACAGGAGATATGTTTTGTGACACAGGGCTATGTTTTGTGACACAGGAGCTTATTTTGTGACACGGACGGACCCCTCACGTCACAAAATATCGCACGCCAGGCCGGGGTCAGGAGGTCATAGGAGCTATGTTTTGTGACACGGACGGACTCCTCCCGTCACAAAATCGCAGGCCGGGGTTTGGAGGTTGCCGGTCGGCCCGGCTCGGCGGGAGCAGTTTGCAAAGCTTGCCTGTGTCAGAATCCGCATGCTTCGTTTTGATATGTGCTTTGTTTACACGGCGGGGGGTCCGCCATCACAAAAAGCATGCTTCCAGCATGGCCAAACCTAAGAACAGGGCGCTGACCGCCCCGTTCTTGGGTTTGGCCATGCTGGAAGCATGCTTTTTGTGATGGCGGACCCCCCGCCGTGTAAACAAAGCACATATCAAAACGAAGCATGCGGATTCTGACACAGGCAAGCTTTGCAAACTGCTCCCGCCGAGCCGGGCCGACCGGCAACCTCCAGACCCCGGCCTGCGATTTTGTGACGGGAGGAGTCCGTCCGTGTCACAAAACATAGCTCCTGTGTCACAAAAAATAGCCCTGTGTCACAAAATACAGCTCCTGTGTCACAAAATATAGCTCCTGTGTCACAAAATATTGCTCCTGGCCCTGGCCCTGGCCCTGACCCTCTGCCCTGGCCCCGGCCTGGCCTGCGATTTTGTGACGTGAGGAGTCCGTCCGTGTCACAAAATAAGCTCCTGTGTCACAAAACATAGCCCTGTGTCACAAAATATAGCTCCTGTGTCACAAAATGTTGCTCCTGTGTCACAAAACATAGCTCCTGTGTCACAAAACATAGCCCCTGTGTCACAAAACATAGCTCCTGTGTCACAAAATATAGCTCCTATGACCTCCTGGCCCCGCGGATCGAACAGTTGTTTAGTAGAGCTGTGTTTACGGCATAGACATGACACCCACCCACCCTTAGGATCCCATAACATTAAGAAAGTACACAGTTGTACATTCATTCACAGCATAAAACTACTATCACCGAACGTTCGCACAACATTAACATCGCTAACTTAAACCAAACCAAGCTTCAAAATGTCAAGGTTTAGGGTTAAGCGTTTTAGGGTTTAGGGTTTAACCCTAAACCCTAAAACTGAAGGCACGGCGCCTAAACCCTAAAACTGCCGGTACGGCGCCTGAACCCTAAACTGCCGGTACGGCGCCTAAACCCTAACCCTAAACCCTGAAACTGCAGGGTTTCCGGTGCCTAAACCTTAACCCGTAACCTTAAACTAAACCCTACAACTGCCGGTACATCGCCCAATACTAAACCCTAACCCTAAACCCTAAAACTGCCGGGTCTCCGGTGCCTTATTAAACCAACTGCCGGTACATCGCCTAATACTAAACCCTAACCCTAAACCCTAAAACTGCCGGTACGGCGCCTAAACCCTAAACTGCCGGTACGGCGCCTAAACCCTAACCCTAAACCCTAAAACTGCCGGTACGGCGCCGGTACGGCGCCTAAACCCTAAACTGCCGGTACGGCGCCTAAACCCTAACCCTAAACCCTAAAACTGCCGGTACGGCGCCTAAACCCTAAACTGCCGGTACGGCGCCTAAACCCTAACCCTAAACCCTAAAACTGCCGCGTCTCCGGTGCCTAAACCTTAACCCTAAACCTTAAACTAAACCCTACAACTGCCGGTACATCGCCTAATACTAAACCCTAACCCTAAACCCTAAAACTGCCGGTACGGCGCCTAAACCCTAAACTGCCGGCACGGCCTAAACCCTAACCCTAAACCCTAAAACTGCCGGTACGGCGCCTAAACCCTAAACTGCCGGCACGGCGCCTAAACCCTAACCCTAAACCCTAAAACTGCCGGTACGGCGCCTAAACCCTAAACTGCCGGTACGGCGCCTAAACCCTAACCCTAAACCCTAAAACTGCCGGGTCTCCGGTGCCTAAACCTGAACCCGAAACCTTAAACTAAACCCTACAACTGCCGGTACATCGCCTAATACTAAACCCTAACCCTAAACCCTAAAACTGCCGGGTCTCCGGTGCCTAAACCCTATAAACTGCCGGTACATCGCCTAATACTAAACCCTGACCCTAAACCCTAAAACTGCCGGTACGGCGCCTAAACCCTAAAACTGCCGGTACGGCGCCTAAACCCTAAACTGCCGGTACGGCGCCTAAACCCTAACCCTAAACCTTTAAACTGCCGGTACGGCGCCTAAACCCTAAACTGCCGGTACGGCGCCTAAACCCTAACCCTGAACCCTAAAACTGCCGGTACGGCGCCTAAACCCTAAACTGCCGGTACGGCGCCTAAACCCTAACCCTAAACCCTAAAACTGCCGGGTCTCCGGTGCTTAAACCTTAACCCTAAACCTTAAACTAAACCTTACAACTGCCGGTACATCGCCTAATACTAAACCCTAACCCTAAACCCTAAAACTGCCGGGACGGCGCCGGTACGGCGCCTAAACCCTAACCCTAAAACTGCCGGTACGGCGCCGGTACGGCGCCTAAACCCTAAACTGCCGGTACGGCGCCTAAACCCTAACCCTAAACCCTAAAACTGCCGGCACGGCGCCTAAACCCTAAACTGCCGGTACGGCGCCTAAACCCTAACCCTAAACCCTAAAACTGCCGGGTCTCCGGTGCCTAAACCTGAACCCGAAACCTGAAACTAAACCCTACAACTGTCGGTACATCGCCTAATACTAATCCCTAACCCTAAACCCTAAAACTGCCGGTTCTCCGGTGAGTAAACCTTAACCTTAAACCTTAAACTACACCCTACAACTGCCGGTACATCGCCTAATACTAAACCCTAACCCTAAACCCTAAAACTGCCGGTACGGCGCCTAAACCCTAAAACTGCCGGTACGGCGCCTAAACCCTAAACTGCCGGTACGGCGCCTAAACCCTAACCCTAAACCCTAAAACTGCCGGTACGGCGCCTAAACCCTATAGGGTTTAGGGCTAGGGTTTAGGATTAGGGTCAACCTAAACCCGAAACCCTCAACCCTAACCCTAAACCCTAGGGTTATTAATCTGACTAAATAAGCGCTCAGTGTAAGTTGGCGATGATGACGGTCAGAGTTTAGTGTAGGGTTTAGATTGTTATTTAGTTAACAATAATGTACTATTTAATAAGGGATTAGGGTTTAGGGTTAAAGGTTTTAAGGTTTGCGCCTGGCACCCGGCAGTTTTAGGGTTTAGCCGCCGGGCACGCGGCAGTTTTAGGGTTTAGGGTTCGGGGTTAGGATTAGGTTGAGGGTTAGGGTGTAGGGTTAGCGATTAGGGTTAGGGTTCAGTGTAAGTTAGCTACTACGGTTAGAGTTTAGTGTAGTTTTAGATTAAGGGTTAGGGTTTAAGGTAGCGCCCTAGCGGCAGAACGACAGCAAGTGCAACAACGTGGTTCTCTCCTCTTACACTCTTTCTCTGTCGCTTCTTTCTCCCCCGCTCCCCGAAGCCCCCCAACCCCGAGAGAAGGAAAAAAGGAGAAATGTAAAATTGAAAGATCTGTGTACTACTACGTAATGCTGTTTCGTATAAAAATGAATTTTAGCTGAAGGGTTAGGGTGTCTTAGGGTTCTTTTACAATCGGCGCTCGTCTCTGGTGGGCGGCGCGGCGATGCTCCTTTCAAGCTCCGCTGAAACAGGATCCCCTGGTTGATCTTTGACCCCCCGAATAGTACGAAAAAGCCTTAGAACTGAGGGAGGCAATAGGAAAGGGACGAAACAACAAGGCAGTGGGCCTAGATCTGACATCCTATGAGCTGCTTAAGGAGCTGAGTCAGGATCCAGTGTCTGAGCAGTCCCTCCTCTTCTGGATGGAGAGCATTCGGATGGGGTGTGACATACCAGAGGAGTGGCTGCACACCATTGTCACGCTCCTGCCGAAGAAGACTCAACCAGCGACACCGGCAGATCTGCGGCCCATTAGTTTAGGGTCAGTTGTGGGCAAGATTTTTGGCAGCATGCTATTGGGCAGAACTCGAGCGTGGCTGCGACCGACAGGGCCGGAACAGTGTGCACACTGTGGGCGTCAAACGGCTGACTATGTGTTTACCGCTGTCAGGCTTTTTCAGCTGGAGACCGAGTGGAAATCGGGGTTGCATTTCCTAAAGCTGGATAACGCCAAGGCGTATCATACACTCAACCGGTCCAAGGTGTTGCAATTCCTTGCCGACAAGCTGCCCCCCGTCATGCATCGGGAGTTCCAGTGTTGGAAAAAGCTCTTGGCCCCAGGTGTTGCCCACATCCGGACCCCGTGGGGACTAGGCCGTGTCGACCAGACGAGAGGTATTCGGCAGGGGGCCGTGGAATCGCCCTTCATATTTGCCATAGTAATGGAGGAAGCGCTCCACCGGGCGCAACAACATCAGCACTGGCCGCGAGCGGTACCACCTCTCCCCGATTTGCGCTTGGGGGAAATCCTCTTCATGGATGACAGCCTCCTATGGAGCGCGAGCAGGCGCGACATCTCCCTCAAGTATGAGCTGCTCAAGACAGCCTTGGCGGAATGGGGGCTCAGAGTGAACCCCGGCAAGACAGCGTATTATGCTAGCCCCTATGTCTGCGACAAGGGCCCACTGGTGCTCGAGGGCCAAGAAATCCCGCCTCGTGCGGCGCTTCACGTCATGGGCATCCAACTGCAGGTGCCGTTGAAGCCTGCAGGACTCATGGACGCCGGCCTTGCCAAGGCCAGAAAGAAGTATTTCGCCAGCAGGTATGTTTTCGAGAGCCGGTCCCCCATCAAGAAGCGCCTCCAGACCCTCGATATGGCAGTGGGAGGGGCGGCATTGTGGTACTCTGCAGCGGTCCCACCGACGCCGCAGGGGCTTGGAGCTGTCAACTCCTTCCAGTTGGACCTGGTGGTCAGAATGGCGGGGTTTAAGAGGAGAACGCACGAAACATGGCTTGAGTTCAAAACGCGCTCCGTCCGCGGAGCCAGGCAGCTCCTGGTCAACAGTGGAGTCGAGCGATGGGGGACCAAAGCTCTGAAACGCTACTGGGGCTACATGGGGCATGCGGCCAGGGCGGCGAGCAGGGACGAACCACCCCCGAGTGCCGTGATGTGCTACTACAGACCGCTAAGGTGGTGGAGAGAACAACAGAGGGAGAGAGATGGCGTGCGCCACCCGGCGCAATTCTTCCCTTACCTGATGAACGCGGAGACCAAGCTCAACCGAGCGGCGGGAAGACCGGACTGGCGCGACCTCGCCCAGGATCCGGTGGAGTGGAAGCAGCGAGAGACTGAGTGGCTGAGGAGAGAAGATGTGGCATGGTGCAGTGGAAGGCAATTGGCGTTGGAGGTGTGAACTGACAGCTGGGGCCCCTGGTGGCGAGTGAACCGACTGACATCGGTGAGTGCCCCAGGCCCACCCACCCCGGCCCAGACCCCTACCGGAGCAATCCCGACCCTGCCTGAGCCATGTGCCGCTGAACCAGAAACCCCACCCGGCATGCAATGATACACCCTACACACATGCATCCACCGAGATATCTTACCGAAAGCACTAAACTATTCGGCAGTTCGAGTACGTGAAGCTTGACTACAAACCTATTTTGTCGACAGTTTGAGTCCGTGACGCTTGACTATTCCGTGTCTTTTCCGCAGCTTTGTGCCGGCTTTGCTTGCATTACCAACTTGCTGAGCCAGGACAGGACAGTCGCCCACACATTTGATCACCTGATGCATCCGCCTCAAGTGAGAGTCCTAGTGACGCTTTCTTCAAAGTGTGGACAGGCAGGTGTAAGCCCTGTCGCAGCGCAGGGAAGACCTGATGGCTTGTGTCTTGCTACTGCTGAGTGCGGGACTGCTGACCCGAGATGGCTTGGCGGCCCCGGAAGGACATCGGCCTGGAAGTGACCCCCTAGCGTTACACGATCCACCGGGAGCACGCGCAGTACATGGACTACAAGGAGTGAACCGAGAATCCCCGCGAGAACCGCATCGGCCCGGAAGTGAAGCTCTTGCATTACGCGATCCACCGGGACCACATGACGATGTAGCAGTTGGCAGTAATGCATGTGAGAACCTACAGTGCCCTGAGCGTGAAGCCCCACCACAAGCACGCCTACATGAGCGAGAGTCCCGTCAAGTGCCCGATCCCCCGGCAGAACGGTGCAGGACCCCGCGAGGATCCCAGCCCCAGCATCAGCCGGCTCATGCTGATGAAAGCTCGGAAGAAGATGCAGATGACAGGGCCTGGAGTGAGGGCATTTTGTGCCTGGAGGAGCTTGCTGAGGTCCTGACCAGCGCCTGGGAGGCGGACTACGAGGTGGTCGGCATGATGGCGGAGTTCCACCTCAACTGTGTCCGACTCCCCTTCTTCTGTCTGCCTCCACGGCACCGATCCCTTGGCAAGGGGTCGCCTCGAGAGTAGGGCACGCCCCGGTCCAGGCACTAGGCGGACAGTTGACGTGGATCTGCAGCTGGGTGGTGTCTTATCCCATATTTCCTTAACCGTCTCAGCCCTCGGCTTGCCCTTCTTCTTGATCAGCCACTTCTTAGCGACCATAGCCGTCGCATCCCCTGTCTCGTCAGCCTCCTGCGGGTACCGGAGCGCTACCAGCCGGAGAATCACCTCCGTGGCATTGCGGGCCCATCTGCGCTGAGTCGTCGACGTAGGGCCGAGGTCTGATGTCTCCGCCCAGTGGATCAGCGTCGGGGGAACTCCCCAGCACAATGCAGCATACAGGCATCGAGCCTGGCCGGCCTGAGGGCCGCGCACAGCCTGCCGCCGGATATCCCGTCTGACGTCGAGGAGTGCAGCCCGGCGGCTGCTTCGCGAGAGGAGGCAGCTGAACTTTCACCCTACCAGGTATGGCAGCTGCTACTCGGGTTCACTGAGGAATCTACACTTACTGTCACCTCAATCTCGCAGGAAGGCATCCTCCCCAGCTATGTCTACAATAACATCATCGAGACCCTGATGGACCAGGATGATGAGGACTTCGAGGCCTTTGAAAATGACCTGGGCCAGATTCTGGGCGACCTCACGGTGACGCTTCGGGACATTGTCGAGACCGTGCGAGAAAATCGCCGGCGCAAACAGCAACCTGACCCGCCGGCAGCGGACGCTCCAGGACGAGAAGGAGGAGGCCCTGGCAGGGACGGAGATGATCAGGGAGGAGAAGGTGATGGAGCCACAGAGGTCACGGCCTTTATGCAACGCACGGTGACCGGGGTGCTGAAGGGACACCGACCTGGGGAAACTAGGCAACAGACACTTCATGCTGACCTCCAGCAGTACGAGGACTTCAAGGCAGCCCGGCTGTCGCAGGCCCTGCTGAAACGGCTCCAGGGCCAGGAGCACAACGTGGAGGAGTGCGACTCTGTATGTGCGGTCCTCCTGGCACATGCGGACCCGGAAGCTGAGGGTCTCTGCCGCGAGGAGGAACAGGAGTGGGTCGCCAAGTGGGAACGTTTACTGGCAGGTGGCTCCAGAAGGGGAGAGGCCAGTTCCTCCACAGACCCGGCTCATGTAACTGCTGCTCTGCCCCAGATGATTGAGGTGGAGGAGGAGACCCAACCGAACCAAAACGACCAGGATGTCGCTCTCTACGAGTGGCACCTTGCCAAAAAGAGGGAAGATGAGCAGCGACAGGACCGCAACCAGGTTGCCGCGATGGCTGGTTGGTCAGTGAAACCGGGACCAAAGAGGATGCGCTTGGCGGTGGAAGCTGGGTCTCAGACTGAAGGAGGGAAAAGAATGACACTTGATGTGGCAGAAGGGGAGGAGATCCGGTTGACGATCCGGGCAATTATGGAGCAAGGGCCTGACGAGTACCTCTATGCAGGCCGACCAGTGGAGGCAAAGGAGGCAATAGAGGCCATTAGACTTGAAGAGGAGCGGTTGGACCATTGGCAACCGGGCGATCCTACGTCTGGAGACCAGGAGCTCATGTACCAGAGGTGGCTCCAAAGCTTAGAAAATGACCGAGACATAGTCCGGGCCTTTGGCTTCTCGGTCCTCCTGCAGTACCGCAACCGCGCCTGGGAGGAAGAACAGAGGTGGAGGAGAGAGGCCAATCAGGCCAGAGAGCGTCGCCACAAAGAGTGGAAGCGCAGGGCTACGGAAGCTCGCTGTGAAGCAGCGCTACAAGGGGATGATGACCCGAGTGCAGCCAGGCGCAGCGACGCCGAGCCCGAACCGGATGAACCTGCTCACCAAGGCGATCCACACGAAGATGCAGGAGATGTACGGGGACTACCTGACCTCCCTGACCGAGCTGTGCATCAGGACCTACCTGACCTTCCTCACCGAGCTGTACACCAGGACCCGGCCCAACAAGACACCGAGCCATATGAGGATGAGAGAACCTCCCCGGCAGTGCACCGTGGACTTGAACTCCCGCAGACGGCTGTGGACGATAGCGAAAGTGAGGCACTCTACCGCATCTCAGAAGAAATGGAACAACTCCGAGCACTACAGAGAATGGGTGATGATGACTTGTACCGACTATGGGGCCAAGGGAAGGTGACCAGCCAGCAGTTGGCCGATGCGGGCGGGCAGCTGCTGGTCAATCGGCTAGTGCAGCGCAAGCGAAGAGAGCGGAAGGCAGGGACTGCGCAGCACGGGGGCGGGGAAACAGAAGCTTTGGGAAGTGGACAACACTCAGAACACTTGCGCTGGCTTCGAGAGCAGCCCCGACACCAAGTTGACGCAATGTTCCTGTCTGGAGATATCACGGACGCTGATGTGCTGGAGCTGTGGGGCTCTCGAATGTTGCGGGAACTTGCCCAGATGCGCTGGGACCGGCGCAGAGCGGAAGAGGTGACGAGGGCAGAGGACTTGGCGCAAGGCGGTCCCCGGCGTCGGCGTGGTGATCACTCTGATAGTGGTGACTGACGGGCTTTGTAGTGCTGTGTGTGAGCTAAGTGGCATGCGGCACTGTCGGTACCTAGCATGTGCAACCTGCTTGTGTATAATCCTGCAGTTCAGTCATTAGCTGTGCCGTTGGGCCATAGTGTGCAATGGTATTGTGCGATGTGCGGACCGAAGTGAGCATGTAGGCCCCTGACTGCACCAGGTCTGATGTGGTGTAGGTGTTGTCTGTGTGATAGGCTATCTTGTGGTTGAGTGACTGAGTGCATGGGCCCATCCCTGCCGGTACAGAGAGCCAACTTTGGGTTGGTCAGTGGCAAGGGAACTTTTCAGATGTGATGCTCAGCCAAGTGGTAGCATAGTATATGGGTTGCTAAGTGTGGTGTGGTGGTGAATCCCCCGTGTTTTCCAAGTCGTGGCTGGGCACACATGCCTCTGTCTGACAGACATTCCAACTAACCGTAGGGCAGGTGGAAAAGAGGTGTTCAAAAAAAAAAAAACCCTAAACCCTAAACCATCAACTCTGAAGCCTAAACCCCTAAACCCTAAACCCTCAACCCTGAAGCCTAAACCCCTAAACCCTAAACCCTCAACTCTGAAGCCTAAACCCCTAAACCCTAAACCCTCAACCCTGAAGCCTAAACCCCTAAACCCCTAACCCTAAAACCCTAAGCCGCACTCCAAAATGAAAGCCCAAAGCCTTGATAAAACTTCTAAAGCCGAAACCCTGTTCATCCCTACCTTGAACTACCAAACCCTAACTTTTTTGGTAGGTTCTTACTATAAATGTACTTTTTTTGTAGGTTCTTATTATAAATGTACTTTTGTGTAGGTTCTTATTATAAATCCTATATTTGAATTTATAGGGACCCTACAAAAAAGTAGGTTTTGGTAGGTGAAGGTACGCACTAAGCCTTGAGCCTTAAACCTTAAACCCCGAACCCTCAAACTCTCAGAGGACTACTAAAAAGGATCGCGGGACTTCGTATAAGGTCATAGGGTCCTTGATTGGGGTGGGAAGTACTTATACGCTTAGCTAGCTGACTGATATCACGCTTCTTATTGAGTCCCCTTTTCCGTATAGGGTCCGAAAGGGAGGGTGGTTCAAGGGGGGAGGGTACAAGGGACCCTTAGGGAACCTTAAGGGAACCCGCACCAGGGACAACGAGGGGTTAGTAGGTTATATACCCCCTTGGAGCCCCCCTGTTATAGTTTCCTTTAGAGCTGTCGGAGGCTCCAGGCTTGGGAGCTCCGCTGGGGTTTGGGGGCAGAGGGTTGCCAGCTCTCAACTTGAAGACTGAACCAGAGAACTGCTGAGAAAGAGTTGAAAACCCGCGCAGGTAAACCCTAAACCCTCAAAACTCCAACAAAACCTCCAAAATTGTCCTAACTACTCTAGGCTCGATGGCAACTCAGTAAACCCTAAAGCCTGATTAAACTAAACCTTAAACTGGAGGGTTTAGGGTGACCCCTGGCACCCGCCGCAGGGCCTGGCGATTTCGAAGAGCCCAGGCAACGATGGAAGTCGAGAGTTTTGGGTTTTGGGGTTCAGGGTCTGGGTACACTAGGTCTAGGTTTGGGGTTTAGGGCTTCAGAGTCTAGACATCATCAGAGTTTTTGGACGTAGGATGTAGGGTTTAGGTTTTAGAGTTTGAGGTTCAGGGTTTCAGAACCCTAAACTCCAAACAACTCAGCAAGGACCCACATTAAGGTTTTTAACAACCTATCATGCGGTGTCCTTTGAAGGCTCTGTTAAGGGCTGATTTACGGGGTGGAAGGTGGCATTTCGCCTGAAGCCTCGGACGTAGGTCAATGCCCGTAAGCGCTTACATGCGGCATCGGACTTAGAGATTACCCAGACACTCCGAACCCTTCAAGTATAACTTAGATTACAATAGGAACTCCAATATGATTCAAGGTAGAGCTCTTAACTAAGCGGGTTTGCGGCCTCTGAGTAGACTTAGGGAGTAAGTAAGGGCTTCAAGATTGCCGGCCCAAGCTTGAGGTTTCCACGGATTCCGGGTTTGAGATTTGGGAGTTTCCGAAAATAGGGGTACCTTATTTGGGGTCCTTATAATAAGGATCCTACTCTTGAAGCGTACTATACTAGGGTCCCCTACTTTTCGGAAACTCCCATTTAGGGCTCACGGTCTTGGGACTGTTCGATTCAGGGATTCGTGGGTCCTCTTTCGGCAAAGTCAGGGCAGGTTGTTCCCCTCGGATGCAAACCTGAGTTCACCACATCAAATCTCAAACCCTAAACTACGCTCCAACCTTGATCCTTAACCCCTGAAGTGTTTAGTAAGACTATTTCTGAGCATTCGAGTCCCTCTTTCATAGAACCATACAGATGCACAAAACTACGAAGGCCGAAGCCCGAGACCTTAAACCCCTCATCGAACCCCCAGACAGGAACCCTACTCTAATCTACCAGGCTGTTCAGTGGTACAGGTTTCCGCTTTCAGGTTTCTGGGTTCCTATTATAAAGCAAGAAGCCCAAAAAAGTATATACTTTTTCCCAGTGGGTTATAGAACGGCCTAGTCTATGAAGGCCTCTTTCTTACGGTCCTTGCAGGCCTGCCGGCGCCTTCGCGCATCTTGCGGGAGAGCCTTCCCGTGCTGAGCGACGCATCCGCGACTTGGAACGTCGAAGAGCTCGGGTGTGGAGTTCAGGGTTTACCTTAACTCAAATACCCTACCGATTTGAGGCCTTAAACAGGGATATCAGAAAGGGGTTCAGGGCTGAAGGCCCAGAACATCCATTCATGTTTAGGGCTGTGGTAGAAAGGTGTCTTGAGAGGAAGGAATCCCCACCAGTAATCTCTTCTGTCGTCCGTATCCATCTGATATAACTATAAAGGAACTTAATAGCATATACACCCGAGACCCTGTTTGAACTGTTAACGCCCCATAAAAAACCCTATATAGAGCCCCACAATCCCTTCTAGAACCCTTGAAAGCACGAACGCAAAGAATTCTGTTCTAATCATGAAGCTCTCAAACATATATGTGTTCATTAAAGCACCTATACTGTATCCCTGGAGACCCCTTAAAAGTAGCCCTTAAAGGAGCCTTAAAAGAACCCTTAAAGGACCCGCTTAGGGCCGCGGGCTTTCTGGATTTTTCCGGCCACTTGATTTCCGATCCCAAAGCAGATCCCCCCAAGAACCGAACATTGGGTTAAGAAGGTTTTGGGGTTTAGGGTTTAGAGGTTTAGGGTTTAGACGGTTTAGAGGTTAACAGGTGTAGGGTTTCGAGGTTTAGGGTTTAGGCGTTGCGGTTCGCAGGAGCATGAAATCCGAAGTTATTGCAGACGAATTGAATCCTCATGCCATGAACCCGACAATCTACACCTGAACTCTGAACCCAGAGCTTGGGTACTGCCCCCGCTCAGTAACAGGTGGATAATATTCATAATATAGAGATATCAGGACCTCAATAGTAGCCCTATTATACACTCTAACTGTATGGGGGCCGTGCCCAACCCAGAGCACTAATTACAGCTCTAAACGTCAGTCGAAACGCTGCACCTCTAAGTCAGGTGATGCCCGAGAGTCTTGGCCCCCAGTCGGTGGGTGCCTTGCCGATGGCAGTCACCGAGCCGCCGGTGGCGAAGGTGCCGCTTGGGTTTCCGGGAAGGCTTGCGTAGTGTACTATCCTCTTAGAAAGGAACCACCATACTGGAGACTGGTAATTACGCCGTGGCGGCGCGTATTTTCGAGGAATTCAGTGTTTTTCCTCGAGTTTTTTACTATAGAAATGGCTTCATCATACTCCCCAGAATACACTAGCAAACATTTGCATGACGTCTTAACGCAGTATTATTCTCAACAGCTGAACTGACGCCCGCACAAGCAGCACGCTGAGGATCCGACCTTGGCGGAGATAACTACTTAGTAACTACTTTAATCCTGTTATTCTCATAGCCCACCAAGGGCGCGGAGACAGCAATTCTCAGTTTGCACAGAGTTATCAGCTGCTTCGCTCACTCTTCTTCTTCTTTGGTCACCCCTCGGACTTGTCGCAGCAAGAGACAGTCGACTAAAAGTCAAAATTTGTACACGTATGTCAGGCTTCTTTCTTCGATGAAGCAGACTGGCAGGTTGTCGGATAGAGCTTCCTACTTCGAGGACGCTGGACGCTTCGCCATGCAGGCTGCTGGCCTCCGCAAGCAAACCTTTGCAGTTGGACGACGGAAAACTTTCGAGGCGAATGATTTGCTGCAACTGTACGGCTGAGAACGGCGGCGCTTACGGCCTGAACTGAATGGGCTGAGGTGACTCACACTGTTCTTGCGGATCAACTCGTTATGCTTCTGCACGCAGAAGAGAACATAGAAGAAATGCGTCTGCGGAGACATGGTATTGAATGTTCTGGCATAATTGCGAAACCAAGCGAAGGTTTGCTCAGCCACAGAGGTATTCACCTCTCTCAATCTCTTGTCCAACTTTTTGTGCACCAAGGGCGAGCACGGACAAGTTGTACCATGACCATGTGCGTGGAACTTATCGACGCAGAAGTACTTAATGTCCCGGAGCATGTCCGACCTTCGCACTGCTTGCAAAGCGCAGCACATGCGGTCATAGATGATACAATCCAAGACAGGAAGAATTTCAGCCGCATCTTCAAGCATCCTAACTGCCAGGTCATTGTTCTCAGGGTGGATCATCTCCTGCACACCAACGATGAGGCCGGACTCTGGATGAATAGCCATAAACCACCCATTTGTGCGCTTTTTGACTGTGCCGTCCTTCCGTGGCCGTCCGCCATGGGCAGGAGTAATAGTAGAACACCTGGATGAAACCTTTTCATGGCCATCGATCACGAGCTCGTACATAGACTTACTCTCCTTAACAGTAATCTCATTGGATTGGAACCACTTGTGATATTCCTGCACGAAGTTGTCAGCAAGCGGCTTCTCCAAACAGATCGACAGGAGTTTCTTGTCGGTGTCCTGGTCCGACAAGTCGCACCACATGAGCTCGCCGACCTGTAGGACATTGAGATACAACTGTGCGGTAGAG